TTTTGATTTATAAAAAACATATTTTACTTAAATTTTTAAAGGTAAAAACGAACATTAACAGATTTTAGCCAAAAAAAGAAACATTTTCAAACAGACAAACACACAGGTAGATGGACGGATGCTAAATTGATTGAATGTATATTGTTGTACTCCCTTTCGAGAATAAGGGATGCTTGATAATTGCTGATAAGAAAAAAAATACTCTACATTTCAGTATAGATGAACACACATGTAAATGCTAAAGCAATGCAAATGTATCTAACGCTAATAAAAAAAACTAGATGCTGTCATGAGACAGTAATAACCGCCCTATGGTGTTTGCCTCTAAATACACACTCCTTCATATTGGACTTTCCATAGAAGAAGTCAAAATAATTCTATAATTATCACCATACATGTATTTGTCAAATTGAACATAAAATTTTCAGGTGACCATATGATCTATGAGCCTCACATATGTATTTTGAATACTTTATTCATTACCAGTCTGAAATAACAGAATTTAATTAATGATTGAAGTAAATTACTTAATTGGATTCAGATAAATATTTTGCCCATAATTTGGAACTTTTTAAATTTACTTTCTCAACGACATAAAATATTAATTTAGTACAAAGCGTTTTTGATGAATTTATCAAAATGTGCAAACTGATTTTAGTACTTGGTCGGGAAAAAACCGCATTGAAAATACAACCAAATTAATTTGTCAATGCCTATCTTCCCCCCCCCCCCCATACCCACACACACACTCTCTCTCACTCTCACATTTTTTTAAAAATAGACCTAGATGGCAAAGTTACCTTTATGTTAAAACATAGATTATTATGATAGTTTGAAAATTGTTCTTGTACTAAACAGTTTTACGTGTGAACATCTTACTTTCTACGTTCACATTGAGTTTGCGTTACCCATTATCATATTTATAGAAATCACCTCTCGGCACACCTCGGCCAATTCATACTGGCAAGGGCATCAGCAAAGGTTTGTCGAATGAGATTATTTAGCACATGTATGCTGACGATGCAGTGTGGTCAGTTAAAATCATTTGTGTTTTAATTGGATTATATGGATTATATTTTATGAATTCGTTGTCACGACCTATGACATTCGGTAAGTACAAGATTTAGTATATATTGCATAAAAATAAATAACTGCAAATGGTTAGGTTGAAGTTCAAAAAGGGTCAAAGATCATCGCATGCCACAGTCGACAAAGTTATCTCCCGTTGCGAACATTCAGTATATACAGGTGCAGATCCAGAATTTTTTTCAGAAAGGGGTAGGGGGGGGGGTCACACCTCATTAAAAAAAATCAGCCCAAGATTTCCCGAGAAGCAAATAAAATATAATAATAACAAGAGGCCCAGGGGCCACAGCGCTCACCTGAGCACATCAAGCTTGAATTTCCCCCCCCCCCCGTCCAGGCTTTCATCATTTGAACAAACTAGAATCTACACTACCTGAGGATGATTCCATATAAATATCACTAATCATAGCTTTGAAGTACTTGAAAAGAAGATTTAAAAGATTTTTCTTATATATTCCTATGTAAAACTAGGGTCGGCCATTTTGGCCCCACCCTTGCCCCAGGGGTCATGATTTGAACAAACTTGAGTCTACACTACCTGAGGATGATTCCACATGAGTTTCATCTTTCCTAGCCCAGTGGTTCTTGAGAAGAAGATTTTTAAAGATTTTTCCTAATATATATTCCTATGTAAAACTTGGGTCGGCCATTTTGGCCCCACCCTTGCCCCGGAGGTCATGATTTGAACAAACTTGAATCTACACTACCTGAGGATGATTCCACATGAGTTTCATCTTTCCTAGCCCAGCGGTTCTGGAGAAGAAGATTTTTTAAAAATGCCATTAATTTTTAATAAATGCATGATTATCTCCCCTTGGAAAAGGGCGTGGCCCTTCATTTGAACAAACTTAAATCCCCTTTACCCAAGGATACTTTGTGCCAAGTTTGGTTGAAATTGGCCCAGTGGTTCTTGAGAAGAAGAAGAAAATGTGAAAAGTTTACGCCGCCGACGACGACGACAACGACAACAACGACAGACGACGGACAAATTTTGATCAGAAAAGCTCACTTGAGCCTTCGGCTCAGGTGAGCTAAAAACAATGATGGTGGAGTCCCTGTTTTCTAAGGTGGAGGATGTCCAAAGTCATTTTTATTCTCTACAGAGTACAGTACATAGTCTTATTTAAATAACTGCTAATTCAGGGGGGATGTCTGATCTCTCTAGCCACTGACTCCCTGTACCTGAAATGACAATTTATCTTATGACTCCATAATAGTAGAATTTTTTTTTCATTTGACTATATATACATATTTTGTTTCCTATTTATGTATGTTTGTCTGTCCACAGAAACTTGAACCTTGCCCATAAGTTTTAAGTGGATTGGGCTTTACACATGGCTTCACTATTTCATAGGTAAATTTCTTTTGGCAAAACCTTTTAATGGGTACCACCAATTTTGACCTCTTTATCTCTTGACCTTGGAGTTTGACCCACTTTTACAAGAAAAATACATTAAACTTGATCTAAGTTTTGAACAGGTGGTGCTAGGACTTTCATGCTCTAAAATGTGTAATCATCGTGAACTTTCAACAGGTATAATTTTTTTTTACCTAGACCTTAGAGTTGAACCCAATTTAACTTTAACCTTGGCAATAACTTTAAACAGGCGAAGAAGTTCTAGGGATTTCTCTATTTTTTCACATGTGTATTCCTTGTAAGAAGACTTTCCCTTTGATACCAACAATTTTGACCCTTTGACCTTGGAGTTTGACTTACATTTTAGAAACTTCAACCTTTGCCAAAAGCTGCCATAACAGTTGCTGTCACAACAAACAAACAAATTACTAAAAAAACACAGTATACATGTACATATTTTATAATCAACAGATATACATCTGGTCATATCTCTAGTTCTCCCTTGAATAAGACATGGTGATATAAATTTTAAAAAATAATTATGATCAGAGTTGAAAAGGTTGTGCATATTAAAATATACTAAGCTCTGCGGATGAATTAGATATACCAGTTTAGCTTTATTTTGCTACCAAAAGCACCTTGATTAACTATTTATAAGCATACTGTTTTCTGAAATGTACTGATTTCTGTTGTCGATCTGATTGTCTGCAAACTTTTCACATTAACTTCTTAAGAACCACTGGGCCAATTTCAACCAATTTACCTTTAATTATGCAGGGGACCTTTTCCAACATAAATCTTCTTCTCAAGAACAGCAAAGACATTTATTGTCCCCCATTTTCGCTAATGGTAGGGTACATTAAATCTCATTTGTTTGTCAATCTGCCCATCTGTCACAATAAATTTAACCTTGGTCATCATGGTCGTATATTTTGAATGAGAAGAGACAGGACTTTTATATTATATATAAAATATATTTATATATTTAAGGCTTTATCATTACAAAAAACAAAATTTTCCTCATTTTTTTTTTTTTGGGGGGGGGGGGGGGGGCAAATTTTTGGCATATTAATGGGGTATATATTTTTGAAGGGTATTTTCTACCTTCAATTTATTATTTATTAAAATACTAATGCACAAAATCCGAATACTGAATACAGGGAAAATTTCGCCCCCGATTTATTTTCGTCCCTTTCGCCCTACCCTTATTTGGGCAAATTCAAAACGGGGCGATTTCAAAGAATACAGTAATATTTCTTAAACAAAAATATGACTGGGCGAATTTAAAACGGGCCAAAATTGTTTGGGAGTTTGAAAGGGCGAAAATAAGACGGAACAAAAATAACCCTGTATACAGTAACATTACAAAGCATGATGAAGAAAAGTGCATTTTAGGAATTCTCACATGCATGACATTTTTTTCATATGTCAACAGATGTTTGGATTTCCATTTATAGCCTAACATTTACATAAATCTTAAATTATATCCCTTGTGTCTGACGAAATCAACATTCACTTATCAACCAGAAACGCCACCAAGCAAACAAGCTGTATAAATTTGATAAGCAGCATATCTCTCGTCAATTTAACGTGTCAATAATACAATATATGATGACGTCGCCTGCATAATGGCGCAGTGGATAAATCGTCTGCTTGGGGAATTGATCTTCACGTTGCAGGTTCAAATCATTTGCTAGACGTGGTGAGTTGTCTATAGGAGTATGGCAACATATAACAAAAAGTTCCCGTGTTGCAGTAAATTTTTAGTAAGTGTTGACGTCTCCACATTAGTAAAATATTCTCAAGGGATTTAAACCAAAAAATTTTTAACTTAGTACTTAATGTTAGATAATTTTATCATCAGGAACAACATTAAATACCGTTATAACAACCATAGAAAACATTTTCATAAAATAAGATTAATATATATAATGAATAAATCATCCTGCATTTTCCCACGAAGCTAATAATATTACACTTAAGACATGAGACCAATACTATGACTTAACAGAAATGGGCAGAAATTAAGTTCACTCTGTTGATTCTCTTTGACGCCGCTTTTCTTTATATCTCCTATGTAAAATTTTCTTCCTCACGTTTGGCCCAAATCATCTCTTAGAATCACACTTTGTTTAAAAATTAGATAAATAACACCTCATATGCACAAAAATATGATATAGGAAAGTTTTTTAAGGTTATTATATTTTTTTTTACATTTGAACTTCTATATGTACCTGTAGCATAAAAAACAAGCAAACTAAATACAATTAACAAAAACAAAAAAAAAATTATAAATCTGAGGTTGAGGGAAAATTGATATCGATATTCTCATACATAGTGTTTGTATGATGGTAATTGACAGTTGTGTCGATCCTATTCATATCAGTTCTATTTTGCCGGACATGGATATACACAAAAAAGTGAGCAAATTTCAATAAAAGATCCACACAACCTAGTAACTCTATAAGGATCAGGAGAAGTTCATTTACATTGGAAAAGGTTTCACGTTTGACATCGACATCGGTAGAATTGTTTGTTTTAGATATAATAGTACTTTTTTTCATTTAAAATGTTTTCTGTTGTGTTGCTTACCAATGGAAAAGTTTGTCCATCTAAAGAGCGTAATATGGAACAATAACAATAACAAATCAATTACTAATGATTCATAAATTCCCCCAAAAGTTACCTGTAACTTAGCCAAATGAGAAAGAGAGCAAAATAGAAAGAAAGAGATTTTAATTTGGTCGTTTAAACATTGTATATTTACATTACATTCAATATCGTAAACTTTCACTTGCTAAATCTGTGGACTTCAAAGTCATCCAGGAAAAATAACATGCACTAATAATAAAACCAAAACTATTCCTCTATGCCCTTTGAAAGAGCACTCTATGATAACTTATTTCTATTTTTTTTAGATCAAATCAAGAGAGATACATGTATGTACATGTAACTTTTAAGCTTAAAATGTTCATAACATAATCAAAAGTGTAGTTAAGTCAAATAATCAAAGTTGTGCCTCAAAACATCGATCAATAATTCTACTCATATAAAAAAAAACATCGTGTAGAATTATGAGCAATTAATAGACAAGTAAATCATAAAAGTAGTATGTATAGATGTAAATAAAGTACAAGTGTTGGTTACCAGTAATCAAATTTAAAATTCAATTTAAGAATCTTTTTACCAGTGGTAACATTTTTACAACCGGTGGAAACATCACATGTGTTGTTATCACAGTCACATCTACCTTGACATCCTTCTCCAAAAAAAGGAAAAGGACAAGATTGACTACAATTTACTCCACTGTATCCTAGTAAACATTCTAGATAATAATAATATAAGTGAATAATATTAGAACATATCTTATGTTTTGATTTAAGAAAGATTTTTTGGTCTTTACAGGAAAAAATATATCTTTTTAGAGACGCTAAAAGATTGTGTTGATCATTAATAATTACAAATCATATCAAAACACTATTCAGGATAAAAAGTTATCTGATTTTGTAACAATCATTTTACTTGACAGGGCTTAATTTGATGTATTGTTTCCTCATCTCTTTTCATTGTTACAAATTAATAAATGGAAGCTGTTTTGCTTTATGATTCATAGAGAGACCTGTGTCTATTACATGCATCTAACTGACCTTCTTCATACTAATTGTTAGGCCATTATATACCTACTGAATTGTGGACGGATTTTTCTGTTAAATCTGGATTGAGACAAGAAGCACATTGTGTTACTAGTTAGCAGGCGATGTTCACACCTCCATGTAATCTGATCCTACCACTACTGTTTTAAAGGTCTGTGCATGCTTTTCTCCTATTTTGTAATGTTTTGTGGACTTTTGAACTTGAATACTGTTCGTTATCTCCAGACACATGTATTTCCTGCATGTTATAAGCATCTTATTTCTGAACAATAATGTTATGGATCCCAAAAACACTTAATGAGTATATTAGACTTGAGATAAATAGCCCTTTTCAAAAAAAATCTAAGTAACGACTAGGATGAAAATAAAGTTGACATCTCTGTTATCTATTATTAATTAAATAAATTCATTTATTTATTCATTTGATATCCCCTTTTCACCAAAATCTAAGTAACGACTAAAAATGAATATCAACTTGATATCTGTATTTTTTTGTTAATGAAATAAATGCATTTATTCATTCTTTTGATAACCCCCGTAAACGAAGCTTCGGGGATATATAGCTTTTGTCCTTTTCGCCCCTATGTCTGTCTGCCTTCCCGAAAAATTTTATCCTTGTCAATGAATTTGGAATGGGATGAGCTATGGCTCCCATATTTCACAGATGTATTTCTTGTGACATGACCTTTCTTTGAGTACCACCAAATTTGACCTTTTGACCTTAAGGTTGACCTAATTTCACAAAAATAACTACCACATTAACTTTGGCTATAACGTTTGACAAGTTAAAACTAAGGCTTTCAGATTTCAACGGCGAATCCCCGGTAACATGACTTTCCTTAGCGTAAAGAGGAAGGTACACTTTCAATACAAATAAAGCCCTATATTTTTCTAAAATATGAAAGTGATATTAGAAATTAAAACTAATTCTTTCTGAATTATAGGAACTCTTTGCAGTAAGAAAACACAAATCGTTTTTTCTCATATAACCTCCTAAATGCCAATTGTGACGTCATTAACTTGTGCATTTTCCCGTATTTTCTTAAAAAGTTGCAGAAGACCTCAATTTTCAGTGGAATTTTCTTTCAGAAAACACACTCTGCCACCGTCGCCCGGAGAGATTTTGAGATATGTGATTTTGCATCGCTGTTTGCATAATACATCTAAAAATTTAAGCGGGCGACGGTGGCAGACACTATTTTCTAAAGGAAAATTAGCAGAAAAACGAGTCATTTTGAAGCTTTTCTGCATTAAACTTAAAAATGTACCAAATTAATGACGTCATATTTTTAAGGAAGGCTCTTTTTTATGCCATTTTCTATAATGATTTATCATATTCATCTACTCAACTATTGGTAAAGCCAATTTCATAACTTTTTAAGAACATTAAATTTTTAGGGCACAATAATGCTTAAACCGTACCGTCTTCTTACCAATAGTTTTGCCCATAACCTTTGTACTTTGATATGCATTTGATAATTCTTTCCTCGGCATAAAGTATCAAACAGGGAGATCAGTGTTTCACAAACATATCTTGTCTTATTCTTGTTCTTTAAGTCTTTATTCTTTAATATTCTTTTCGAAGTATCTTCTATTACTACAAAGATTTTTTTATGTCTGATTACAGTTTAGATACAAATATAGGAATGGAAAAATGTCATATTCACAAGATTTTTTGTGAAAGGGGCAACTGGTAAAAAAAAACAGTTGACATAATACGAGATGTATGGTGTACATGTTACAAATCGCTATGTGACGTACTCTTAGTTTGTGCAAGTGTATATTTCTTTTAAACATGAAAAAAGGCATTTAAAATTATTCCTTTGACTTACTTTCGCATTGTTGGGTTTCGTTATTTCACTTGTAATTTGCACAACAGCTTTTGAAGCGCCTGTAAAGGCATAATTCTGAGTAAAATATTATGTTCTGTAACTTCAGCAATGTTTGGTATTTAATGATAATGATTAAAATTATAAGAAATAGATTAAATATAAAATAGCTGTATAACAAAATACTTACTTTTCACATTTTGGTGTTTCTGTTGAACATGAACAAAGACGAATTAGTGTGCTTAATAAGATGAATGTTTCAATGATAGACGCAAAATGCTTCATGATGTATCGCACAGATGCGAGTATTATTTACACTAATAAATGCCTATATCATTTTTATGAGACAAAGTTGCACATTAAAATGTCTTTTATTAGATTTCCTTTTTTCCGCTTGTGCGAATAAACAGTCAACGACCGAATTTTAAGGACCTAGTACATATATATTATTATAACAGTAACTTGATCCGAAGGGTCGTATCACGTCGAGTTGACAGGCGTGGGTCATCAGATCTGACGAGACGCGAAGCGTCGAGTTTGATCTGATGATCCGCGCCTGTCAACGAGACGTGATACGGCTCTTCGGATCAAGTTACTGTTATAATGATAAATTTGTTATATACCCCCTTATAACTAGCTAAATATAGCAGAATAAGACTTAAGAGATCGATTGTATAATATTTATACATAAAACAAAGCATAATAATAAGGGACTTTTTAACGCGCAAGAAAAATAACGTCATGTTTTTGCGTACTACGTCATCAGTTTCAGAGAGTGGTGATATGGATTCAGAAAACCACAGTGTGGTGATCCGGAAAATCGGAGTCGGTGTTATCCTACAATCATATAAATTCTATAAAGCTCTTCTTTGAGAACATTCAAAAAAGCATATTAATTAGGATATGAAGTTCATCTACATTTTGATTTTAAGTCTGTTTGTGATTTCTGAATTTAAAAATCGCTGACTTTAACGTAAACCGAAAACTACAAAAGACATGAAAGAAACAAAACATTATAAAAAAAAAATGATTAGGCTTAAAAAAGATTACTCGGTATCTTTCTTTTATGAATAGGAAATTGTATTGCATATAAAATATGTTAGATTATTATGAACAGAGCTTATATAACATTTATGGTACACATTAATTTATAAACCTCTCTAATCTCGTACGATATTCAAACTTTAACTGTCAAAAAATGACTTACAAACCAGTATCAGCTATGGAACATTTTCAAGGAGAGTTTAAGATATTTACTTAGTTGTAATTGAAAAAGCATACAAATGTACAAGATATAGAAGTACTTTATATATTATAAAACATGTTTGAGTCTACATGTAACAATTGGTGGTCTGTACTTGAAATAAGTTTTTCGATATGAATACTGTCAAATCTCTTCTTTGGCATGTATTTGATTTATGTTTTTTTGTAACATAACCATGATTTGTAAGAACGTGTTATTCAAATATAAAATAAGTGCCTGCTTTTGCTCAGTTGAAATGTCTTGAATAAGTCTTAAAGGAAAAGAACCTACTTATATTTCTCTAAGTATTACTTACTCATACATAAGTATGGATACTTAACCGAAACTTGTAAGATGAAATATCTTGGCTTTCCAAACGTTTTCATTCTAATCCTGTATGTTTTGTAGATATTTTTTAAATTGTAAATTCTTAGATATTTTGTATTGCACATAAATGGTTTGATTATACATATTAATTCTTTATATTCTTTCTGACGGATGTTTTATCTATGCAATAAATGGTGTAGAATATTGATTAGAATATATTAAATTTTCGAATTATAGTAATGTGTTGAATGATTCTACACATACATGAATATCATTAGTTTTTTTTCTTCAAATAAATCTTAGAAAATATGCAACATCTTCCTCTCCTTCAGTCTCCGAAGATAATGTTTTTAGCAGTCAAAGCTAAGAGAGACTAGAGCTATACTTCAAAAGATAATATAGAAATTTGTAAATAACATGAAACCTAAAGTTCCATTCACAGACATGTACGAGTAATCTTTGTTCCTTCAGGCGGTTTGTAAGAAGTGATAATGAAATTTGATCCATCAAAATTAAATTCTGCACGACAAATCATTTCTTAGTAAGGGAGAACTGTGATTCAAAGTAGGATACTGGTTCACCAGGCTAAAGCCAATAACAGCAGCCACTATTACTGGTTCCACATTTGAAAAAAATTATTTTAAGTAGGATTGAACTCAATGAACGACCAAATACTGTAATTAATTTATTTCGTCTCTTAAATTTAGAGATATTCGGTTTAAAAATAGTCATATTTTTTAAATTGAATATTTTTTATAAGAAAAATGAACGTTTGTCATTCAAAATCCTGTGAAGCTTTTTTCATAATTAATGGAAAATGACGAAACTACTTTGTATTTTGTATAAGAGAG